GGGACACAAGAGACCAAGAGGGAGGGAGAAATTAGAAGGGTCTTCCTGGAGGAGGTGGCAGGTCACCTGAGATCACAGGCTTCCTGGAAACTCCAAGCCCCCGCAGGTGATACAGGAATCTCTGTTCGGCCATGTTCTCTAGCACAGGAGGCAACATGGGCGAGGCCCTGACTTCCGTGGGAGAACTGTGGAAGCATGCTGTGGTGCATAAGCAGCCATCATTTGAAGGGATTGCAGACCCCACAGCCCTGTCCATTACCGGTTATCACTGTGCACCCCAGTGGGGCCAACTGAAGAGTCCTCAGCACCTCCTCCATAGTCGGTATGAATGCTTTAGTGCTCCAGCATACAGGCCTGGAGTCTCAGCTACTAGGCTGAGGCAGGGGATCACTGGGTTCAGTTGTATAGTGAGTTCAAGACCAGCCTAAGCAACTTACTGAGACCTTAGCTCAAAATAAGAAGAAACACATAAAAGGGGTCTGGGGATATGGATATAGCTCTGTGGCAGAGTGCTCCCCTAGTGATAGTGGGGTGTGGCGTTCAGTCCCCAGCAGAACATTAAGCCAAACACATGAAAACCAGGAAGCAACTCTCCTCATTGACTCAGAAGTTTGGACTAAGCATGCACTATTTTGTTCCACAGACGAGCATGGATGCTGTCGTCGAGAAGGTACTGATCTGCGCTGGAACAAACTAGAAAGGTCTTGGGGGGTCAATGGAATAGATGCTTTTCACAATCCTGGGCTGGTGCTGGGCAGGCAGCCATTCCGGAGCCCGCCTCCTGTGGCCTTGCAGCGCCACCTTGCTTTAGGGCCTTAAAACTGGGGCCAGGTTGGAAGACAGGGAAAGTGTTACCTACCTGCATCAGAACATCAGCCTTACATCAGCTTACCTCCCACCAGCAAAACCCACAGGGCTGGGCAGGCTGGGCATCATGCTCCTTAGCTGGACAGCACTTGCCAGCCGCTGGTCTGCACCACGGAGCCAGAAGGGACATCTTCACTGGGGGCTAGCCATCTTGGCCTCCCTGGGGAGACGCAGAGACCTAACACGAATCTGACTTGTTCTCACAGCCTCAAGAATCCAAAGCACAAAGCAGAAAGAATTAACTTCTAATTTCACACCCGCTGAATAGAAGCTACAGTAGCTAAAAATAACCTGGAGAAAAAGCATAAAAGCTTTGTACTAGGATCTCCCAACGTGTTGCCTAGGTCAGAAGCCAGCACTTGCCCTTCGGCCATGGAACACAAATAAATACAGAGGCAGAACTATTCTGTACAGAAATACAGATTAAACATCATCTAGTGAGTGGCAATGTGACACCCCTCACCTCTGGCCTCATTCCGGCGGTGAAGTCTGGGTTCCATCCACCCTTGCTGTATCAACAAAGCAGGCATCAACTACTTTTTAAAAATTCAAGATGGCCTGGTCTTTTATTTCCTCTATGTTTATCCCCTTGCCATCCCTAGGAGGCTGGAGGCTGACCCAGTGTTTGCCTGGGAGTCAGAAGGCATTATTTCTACTGATCATCACCATCTTACCTGCCAGGGGGTTCCAGCAAAGATCCTGGAGAGGATTTTTGGAGTGGTGGTTGTTCGCTTTTGTTCTGATCACGGGGTTTCTCTGAGACAGCCACATCATCCTCGTTGCACAATGGGGAGCATCCGGTTGTTGCAATATAATCCCAGTACAAAGAAATTCTGTTTGCTGTGATGCTCTCTTGGGACTGCTATGGAGATGGCAGCCCGGGTTCACCTCTCCCACATCCTTCCATGCTCCAGCAGCCTCTTGGGTGGAGCACAGGCTGCCTTGCCCATTTCCCTCTTAGCTGTCCATGGCCAAGAGAACAGGAGACATACTAGGCTCGGGAGGGCTTGGTATCCATGCAACCACTTTCTGGACCCTTGCTTTCTTCATGCCTGTTGATTTTGATGTTGTTTACAATACGGTGGACACAAGATGAGCCAGTAAGATGCCTCAGTGGCTGATGGTGCTTGCTGCCAAGGCAGATGATCTGAGTTCAATCCCCAGGTCCCACATCAGGGAAGGAGAGAACTGACTCCCAAAAGTTGTCCTCTGACTCCCACGTGCATGGCATGGCGAACAAGAGGGCACAGGAGTACACACACACACACACACACACACACACACACACACACACACACAC